GAAAACTTGGAATCATTTTATTGTTTCACAGTCTAAGATCATTTTAATATTTAAATTCGGTTCGAAATTGACAGGATTCTTTCATAAATATATAAAAATGTTTTTATGTTAAAATATCGTATTTTAGTACATGTTTCACACCTAGAACAAAGGGTTTTTGCTGCTACCAAATCACTTGGTACACTCCAAGCCCAAGCTTCATGGTTCGATGACTATGCCATTGTGTGCTTAATATTAAACTATTCATTAAATATCAATGACAGGTTACAATCATGGACACAGGACAAGGTCACTAAACAATGAATGTTGGACCTGATGTTCTAAATAGTCAATAAAACCTACAAATTTAATAAAGGAAAAAAAGATCTTTTCTCTTCCCTTGTCTTTCTTTCTGAATTAACCAACTTTAGCCAAAATTAAAACATTAAATATTTAATTTAAAAAAAAAATTCAAAATCAAAATTAAAACAGAAAAATTAAGAAAGGTTTTGATTAGTTATAATTGAAGAAACAGACAAAGATTTGTAATGAAATAGATAGAGACACAAAGGGTTTAATTTATCGTGTGAAACATGTACAACATGCAAGTTTCCCTCGACATTCGATTTGTTCGTTTCGCTCGGCACCAAATGTCATAGTGCTCGGGATAAGTTTACTTGGCAAACATATACTAATTATATATTAATACAAAATATAATAATTAGTAGACTGTAGAAATCTACGGATTTTTCCGTTTGCTTGATCATGACAAGGAGCACACGGCGGTTGTGACTCGTCAACAGGGAATGCTTACTCCTCTTTGGCATCTGATCCCACCTCTGATGTTTTTTTTTTTTAGATTTCCTTGTTTGCTCTGCTCCCCATTAGTATTGTTTCCAGGGAAGGGGTAATTGAAAAAAGTAATTGTAATTGACTGTAATTAATTACATTTTTTTAAGTTATTGGAAGTAATTTGTAATTGAACATTTTTTCAATTACTTGTAATTGTAATTTAATTAATTACACTGAAAAAATACCATGTAGTTTCAATTACTTTTTCAATTACCTTATATAATACACATCCATGATATATTGTCACCACTACATGTACCTCCCCTCTTTACTGGTTTTTATTTTATTGTAATACATATCCTCAATCCTTCAAATTAAACAAAATCTTAAGTTAATGTTTACAAACAAATAAATAAATGATTGGTTTGATAATAATAATCTAGTTTCTTTCTAATCATTATGTAAATTTTGAATTTTTTGATTTGTGTTTATAAATCTGAATTTGAACCACCCTTCTTAGGTCTATTCAGCTATGAAACACAAATTTATAATATTTCAATCTTTGTTGTTTGATCAATAATAAAGAAAACGAAGATGTGTGTCATTAATTAAGTTCTCTCTTGTTGGGAAAAGATAATTGCCCTGAGATCACAGCTGTAAATTGCAATCAAACCAAATCAACTCCTCTAAAGAGAAATTCATTCCATGATTTAGAAGACAAAGCCAATGGAGATAATTATTTCAATTTAAAATGCTCCGTTAGCTTTAGAAAAGAAAAACTTTCGATTTGATAATTATTTTAACATCGAAACAAATTTTTACTTTTTTTAATGAATGAATTTTCTATTTGTACAAGTATTATTTATGAAATAAAATTGTTTGATATAAATAACAATTCAGGAATTTCAGGTTACCTTCAAAGAAAATATTTAATTTGAGGGGTTATACACAGTTGCGACTCATTTTACTCTATTAAAATTCCCACTTTTAATCAAATATCATAAGCCATGCAATTTGTGTACATGTAGTTTGTTTTGTGTGGTGGAAACTGCATGAAACTGATCTCGAATTGTTCTTTAAGAGATTCTTTTAATGTCTTGTAAATAAATGTTATTAATTAAACCATAATGATACACAATGCCTACATCTTAAAATTCTTGTACTATTTGTGCAGAGGCTTGGCATACATACAAAGAAATGATGTTCTGTATATTCATTGACAAGGATTATAAAAATTTTCAAAAAAATTAAAAATGTAATAAGTAATTTAATTAATTACTTTTGCAAAGTAATTGTAATTTAATTAATTACACATCTGTCATGTTCTAATTTTTGAATTTACCGGGTGGGAGTAAATATAAAATTAATTGTCATGTTCTAAATTTTGTATTTACTCCCACCCGGTAAATTCAAAATTTAGAACATGACACATCTTAAAAAGCCTGTAATTTAATTGTAATTTAGTTGAAGAAAAAGTCAAAGTAATTGTACTTTAATTTATTATTTTTTTAAAGTAATTGACCCCATCCCTGATTGTTTCAATGGACTGTTGAGCTTGATTACTGTTCGTTAGTATCTCCAAATTTTATTTTAAATTTTAGCATATACAGTCATACTAACATGCCTAGATTAAGAATGACTTCCTCTTCAACCACTCCCTCTTTGTTTTAAATTGATGAAATGATGACATTACTGGTAAGTAAATTACACATATTTTCCTTTATCTCTACAGATAAACTGTTTCCTACTAAAATACGGAGCAGACATCAACAGTCCGAACTTTAAAGTCTGTCAGAGATTTTCAAAAACATCGATTCGGTGCCATAAGCAAGTTATGTAGTATACATTATACCGGTTCCCCGGTGTTCTCCCTCCTCCTGGAACCTGAAATAATAAAATGTCTTCAATACTAGTAGTTTGAAAGACACTACCTTAACCTCTCAGTGGACTTTTCCGAGAAGTGCTGACTGTTACAATCGACGGCTTACTTTTACACTGGGACAATATACGGCAGCTCTTTTGTGATATAAATATTTAGCTTAAAAGTTAATTAAACGATAATAATTGGACATTTCAAAGCACATATTACGTTGTCTAGGGAGGGAACGGAGAAACACTCTATACTAACCCCCTCCCTTCCCATTTGACCAACTACTGCCAAGTTTTCACTCCGGGGTGTTTTTTTTCCTTATTTGATTCCTCCATAAAATGAGATTGAAAGAAAATACTATCCCTCACGGATAAGATATTTTAAGTTATGTTATTCTACCTCCCATCATCTCTTGTGTTGAGTACAAGTAAATCATGTATGTGCCCCTCACACCATACCTATGACCACTAGTAAGGTTTTCTAATCTAATATCAATACCGAACCTCCGTACATAACACATGTTTAAATGTCAGAGAAAGCCGTTGAGTGTAAATTTAAAGTCAGTGCTTCTCGCAAAAGTCCATTTAACGGTATACGGAGCATGGGCTCCTTGGAGTCATACCCACCCCTTAAGACTGGATATGATCAAATACCTTAAGAACAATAAAAATTAGCTTAACCCCAAACCACATAAAATGTTGTTCTTTGTGACATACCGCATTAAATTGTACAGGTCCGGAGCTGTGAGATCAATCCCACTCATTAAGGCTGAAAACACTTTAAATATGTTTATCTTTAAACCCTATAATATTCGTGTTTCTTTTGTCATGCATGAACAGTATAATTAAAAACTCTGTTTCTGATATGTATATCTAACTCATAATTACTAAAACAAAGGTAGAAGTCACGAACGTAGTCATGTGCTATGTGTTGAAATATTGCAACATCATAGCCAATTAATATTTTCTCAAAACAATTGCCGTTAATCAGTCAACATACTGTAAATACACACGTGTCACCTTTACAGATTTCTTTAGCAGTGGCTGTTCCATCAAAGAAACGTACAATATGTACAGATTTCATCTACTGAATCCTACTTCGAATGATTATTTGTACAGATATGAACATAAACAATAAAATGTCTTTCTTTGTTAGTGCGAGAATTAACGTTGCTTACGCAGGTTATACAACAGCTACAACATTAATATTCCCGTACTACAAATCAAAGAAAGCATTAATTGTTTAAGGACATACGCAACGTACCTTACCTACTGATAATTTTTCAAGATATTCTTAATTTAAGATTATTAGTGCCATCAGACGTTTGTTTACAAAAAATCGGCATGCATTACCAGGGGTTTTGAAAAGATATCAACTGATGAAAATTCTTGTATAATTCAGAGAAGAATACACAAAAATTACTAAACATATATTCCAGATGTTTTGTTTATCAAAACTTGTTTTAGAAGAAGTATACAACAGCATACATAGACATTGAAATGTAGCACACAGTTCCTTCAAGTATTGGAACTCTTCAACTCCAGGCGAAAAGACAATAAAGTTCAAACTACACGCTGCGTATGTCCTTAAATAACGAGTAAGGTAGAGGAATGCTTATTACAACCATTCCATAAGTTTTGACTACTAGACGTCCAGGAGTAAAGATTGATTGATTTATGTTGTTTTACGTCCCGTTCGAGAATTTTTAACTCATACAGAGACGTCACCATATAGCGGTGAAGGGCTTTAAATTTAGACCTTTACTCGGCACTCAGGGCCATTGAGCAGTGAGGGATCTTATCGTTCTAACGCCTGCCGTAACACGGGACCTCGGTTTTTAAGGTCTCATCCAAAGGACCCGCAACTTTCACTTCAAACTGCCGAGCGCCTGGCGAAGGAACAGCTGCTACCTATTTTTTATCGACTTAGTTCAGTCGCGGCCGAGATTCGAACACCCACACTTCCGGCCTTAGGTGGAGGAGGCGGATTATGTAATTCAAAAATTTTGCTCCCCTTCACCCATATTTTTTTTATATATATGCCAAAATTCGTTGAAATTATTTTATCGGTTCCGGAGAAAAAAGCTGAAAAATGTTCAAAAGATTACAGCATGACACATGGTGCATAACGGACAAGAACGGATAGCAATAGGTCACCGTACCTAAGTCACTCAGGTGACCTATAAATAGCAAGTTTTTTGCTACTTTAAAAAGTTCGATCTCGTCATGTCCCTGGCTGCTACATGTACTGTTATCATTATGATTTTATATAAAATTAAATCCCCTTCTTACTGATTGGACTCTTTTTGAAAGATAGAGGCAAATTAAGTCCAGAGACATAGGAACAACTGAAATTGGAATAACAGTTTCTTTTTTTATTTAAAATATCAAAACTATATTATACTACAATAAAATACAATACACAATACTATACAATACATATGATTTTTTTTGGGGCCAATTTATTGGCTCGAGAGAGCATGGTGCAAAATAAACTTTACAAATAAATAAGAAACCATGCAAATTATATTATTTAATATCTAAAATGACTAAATGCATTATAGGAAATATATCTCCTTAGTGTAAAACATGTACAAGTATATCAGGCTAATTACTAACAATATGGAAGACTACGTGCTTTTAACAGAAATTGTGCTTTTGAAACATTTACTACTGTCTAGTGTCTAGGATGGACCTATGATTGGCTGTTCTAAAATAGACCCAAAATCTATACTGGAATTCACAATTGAGGGAGTGTGGCTGACCAAATGCTCCTTCAGTTTCTCAGAGTTTGGAAATCCCTGGTCACAGAGACCACACACAAAATTGTGATGCTTCCTAACTACATGTGTATTTAAGTTTGATGCCTGAGTGAATGACTGACCACATAAGTTACATGTGTACGGTTTATCTCCAGTATGGGTCCTAGTGTGAACTTTCAGCCCAGACGCATGGAGAAATGTCTTTTCACAAATATTACATTTGTAAGGTTTTTCACCTGTGTGTACGGGTTTGTGCTTTTGTAAATCAGCCGTCCACCTAAATTTTTTACCGCACACTTCACAGGAGTATGGTTTTTCATGTGTGTGTATGAACATGTGCCTTTTCACATGTGCATTCTGGCTGAATTCTTTTCCACAAACATCACATTTGTAGGGTTTGTATCCGGTATGGGCGCGCATGTGAACTTGATATCCTGAGTGACCTCCAAAAGCTTTTCCACATATATCGCATTTGTAGCGCTTATCACCAGTGTGTGTTCGCTTGTGTCTCTGTAGGTTGGACTGCAGACTAAATGTCTTTTCACAAATGTCGCACTCATATGGTCTATCACCAGTATGAGTTCGAAAATGAGTCTGCATATGTGACAAGAAATAAAACATCTTTCCACATATCTCACAAGGGAACCGTTTCTCTCCTTCATGAGTTCGAAGATGGATTCGTTTGTGGGATAAAAAATAAAATCCCTTATCGCATATTTCACATTTATACCGTTTTTCTCCAGTGTGTGTTTTTCTGTGAATTTTCAATCGAGATAAATGTTGAAAATCCTTGCCACAGATATCACAGACATGAGACTTTTCATCCAATCCACTTCTGGTAAACTCAACTTTATTTTTATAAGAGTCCTTTATTTTATGTATCATTAGATGACTTTCTAGGTCCTTTTCATCAACAAAAGTCTCCCCACACATATGACATATACCAAGCTTTCCTTTCTGTGCCTTTTCCTGATCAACAGGAGAACCCAAATCATTTTCCGAAACATCAACACCAGCTGCCTCTGCGCCCTTTTGACCCATCAAGTTAACAAGGTCATCACTTACCGACTTAAAAATCCTGTCCACTTTCTGACAAACATCACACAACAGGGCTTTATCTAGTGGATGTCCTCTCATATGTTCCTCCAGTTCAACTTGCCTTACAAACATCTCTCCACAGTCCGCGCACTGGAAGGATTTTTCTGATTCCTTTGAAATGTCAGTGTACCCATCCCTGCTGAAGAGCTTCTTACATGAGCCACACTTACTCATCGCTATAATTTGGTTCCAGGAGCTAGTTTCCATTTCCATCTCATGCATTTTGGTTTTTTTTTTTAGGTTGTTAAGGTAACAGTCTCCACGGATATATTCAGATTTGGATTCCGTGAATGATGTATCTTTACAGAAAGGTAATTTAAAAATAAAAAATTCCTGGATTACATTATTAAACCTGTAAAAAAAAAAAAAAAAAATAATAAATTATTAAATACAATTAATAACTGAAAGAAATGTAACTATGAAAACAATGCCCTGACCAAGGTGAGAATTCTAGAGCCAATAAAAATGATGCACAAAACATAGACAAAAATTTTAACCTATTAAGAGCACATGGCTTGTCTTCCAAGATTGTTTAAAGAAAAAAGAAAGAAAAATTTGAATCTAACTTCTCTTAAAAGGTTGTTTCATCAAAGATTTTGACACTTTCAGGCAATACCTTGTTTAAATATGTTTTTTAAAAACATACCACACCTACATATATAAAAATTCTTAAGGGGGGGGGGGGGACCTGCCATCTCTGTAGAGATTCCTACAATGACAATGAAATAAATTTAAAGGTCAGAGTACATAAATAGGTGCTAAAGTGGGTGGGAGTATTTTTCTTCAAGATGGCAGCTTGCTCCCCTTCAAGAGTTTATACATACTGGTGCAACTTTTTAAGTGTATTTAAAGTAGATTCTAACTAACTTTTAACAATCCACAATACAAGAGGGCTTAATGGTCATGGCCATTTTTAGATTAAACCTCTTCAGGAAAAGAAGAGCTCTTAATCATGTTAATGAAAACAGAAAATACCATCCAACAATGTAGCTGGAAATGATAATTAAAAAATAATTTTTCGCTAGAAATATCACAAATTTAATTTTCCTAGTTGAATCTTCCTGGTACATGTAATTTGTTGACCCCCCCCCCTTCCATATATAATTATGACCACTATGTCAGCTGATTTTTACACTAATTATAGTTAGGACACCCTGGCTATGCGTAGAAAGAACCATGGGCATCCATGCACATGTGAACAGGATTAACTACTTTACATATTAGAACTTCCTTTCTCTACATGTTACTGTATGTGAACTTAAAAAAAAGTGGGCTTCATATTTTAGCGGCTTTGCTGTGGACTACGATGTGCTAATTCATCAATAACCATGATAACGTAATAAATCATTTTATAATTACAATAAACAGGGCGGACGTTTGTAGTGCTAATTCATGATTACACCAACCACTCAATATCCAGTGATTGTGCTAAATTTTGAATACGTCAATTTATGTACACGTACAGTATGTTCAATTTCATTTTAAATTAACCATATGTACAGCACTTTATCAGCTTACAGGCCCATAGGAAGCGATTTCAGTGTGGGGGGCACAGTCATACATTTTAAGTTGAGGGAGCACTATCAATTTCCGAAAATTCCTTGCAAAGCAAAAAAAAAAAAAAAAAATAAATAAATAAAAAAAAAAAAAAAATAAATAAAAAAAAAAAAAAAAAAAGACACAAGCATTTTGCAGTTTGATGAGGACTCTTTAATCTCTATCATTATTTATAAAACTTGTGTACTAAAATTTCAGGAGTAAAGAAAATAAGGTATGTTATGTATTTAAAAAATTTCAATGAAAAATACTGACTTAACCCTTGTCTAAAGCTCTATCTCTGGCCCAGAAGGACATGAATTTTATAATTTTTTGCAGAGGGCTAGCTTCTTATTATCATGATTATTATCACAAAAACATTTTTTCCTGCTACATATACATATCCATGCGTAATGAAGAAGATTTTCAAAGATGTTATTTTATACTTTCAACTTAGCATCACACTATAAATTAAGCCACTGACCAAGGAAGCATGAATTCTTTTACAATTTTGGAAGAGGATTTAGTATTTATCATAATCATGCAGGAAATTTGTCTGCCAGATATCCATGAGTAAATAATATGAAGATTTTCAAAGGTGAAAAATGTTGTTTTTTTTAATGTATGTCCAACTTAACCTGAACACTGAACCCAGGGGACATGAATTCTTAGTTTTTGTTGAGTGACTCAGTTGACCTTCATGTAAAAACTTAAATCCATTTGATGAATCAGGGCCCAGTTGCTTTCCTATGTATTCCCAGGTAAAACTCTGATCCCCTATTGTTGCCCCACCCTACCCCCAGGGGCCATGATTTTAAAAAAAATTGTCAAGCTTGGTAAACTCATTTATGTGTGAAATTTGAAGAAAATAATAATGATCACAGATCAAAAAGTCTTGATCAATTTACCAATTTTAAGTATGGTGACAGGTGATGCGCATTTCGACTTAATTAACTCAGGTGTGAAATATGAAGATGATAATATCTGAAATATTATGTATTCACAGGGGTTGAAATTTTTCTGAAAAACCCACTAGCCCAGGGGCTACTGATCAGTAAAAATTTACTAGCCCAAACCTCAAACCAACTAGCCAAACAATTTTCATACAAAATGAAAACATAACAAATTAAAGTGTCAAACGCTTTGGTCACAGGAACACATTAAATTAGTTCTCAGTCAAAAGAAACCAATCTACATAGAAAAGCTACGGTAACCTGGCGATCAAGATTTTTTTCTCTGTTCTGCTAGTCCGACGGACTATCGTTACATTTAAATTAGGTATAGCCCGAGTCTTAAAATGACTAGCCCCGGGCGTCGGGCTACCTATGTTTCAACCACTGATTCAGTTAGTCTTAAATTCTAGATGCATTCTAATGGATGAAAAAAATACACAAATTGAAAAAAATCTTGTAATGCTTCTAGCAGTAAGGACTGTCTGAATGTTTGGATTTGTCATATTTGGTTCAATGTGTTTTATAATTTACACCATGTACACTTTTTTCCCGGCACGTGAATGTCATAGGTCACACATATTTACTTTATAAGAACAAGCAATGTTAACAATCGAGGGAAGACATCACTATTGGACCTGCATACTTTAATATTAAAAATAGGTATCATACTGTACATCATGTACATGTTAACATGCACAATAAACATGTATTTATAATCCAAGACCCAAGCACTTGTGACAAACATTAATTCAGGTTCCCAAACAGAAACGTTTCTATATTCTTTAGTTGATAATTATTGCATACATAGTTATGTATTTTCATTTAGAAATCCTCAAAACAGTGTGTATTACATCATTGCATGTATCTGACAGATTAACAAGTTGGAACAATCGCCCAAATGGGATAAAATATATTTACTGTGCAAAAAATGAAGAATTTTTAGGGAGTGGACCCATAAGTATTATAAATCCATACATATATTGAATGCAACAGCTTTTGATTCTTAAATTTTTATATATCCCTCCAGTTTATAAGATTGATCCTCAGGAATATTCGGATCTATTGAAGGACTGAATCAATAAATCTAGTAAGGATACCAAAAAAAAAAAAAAAAAAAGAACAAAAAACAAAAACAAACAAACAAAAAACAAAACATGGTTGGCAAAGTTTTTTGCCTTTTTATATATTCTTATGCGGACTAAAATATTTATATCTAACATTTTTTCAGGTAAATTTATATTATCATTTTGGATATTATGTATCCCTTTCGGAGATTAGTCCAAACCTGTCCGACATATTTGTCAACGAAGGGTAAATGTAGGCCTAGAAAGCAACTCAAAGTTTTTTTTTTAAGTTTAAACAAAGAAATAATTGAAGACATCAAAAACTTACTTTTGTTAACAAATACGATGTTCTAAATTAAACTGACAAAAAAACAAGAAAACACATCCACAATGACAATGGTGTGAATGAAGCCATATTGACATTCAGCTTATTTTATGTGAACTCCGAGCCCGATGGAAAATCCTGTTATATAAATATGATGCCACTCTTTCTGTCCGTTCGTCTATTACATTATCTAATTATCTCCTTTCTCAATTAAATTCCTCCCATATTTTAAGAAGAAGTCAGTTTATCTTTGTAGATTATCATTGAGTTTATCTTTGTAGATTATCACTGTCTGAGTTTATCTTTGTAGATTATCACTGAGTTTATCTTTGTAGATTATCACTGGTGGTGTCCTGTAATTTTCCATCCCGAGGACTGAAGATTTGTTGTTGTTGCTGTTTTCTGTGTGTGTGTGTGTGTGTGTGTGTATGAGCGTTTGTAAACACCTTCAACTCAGCTCAGGTACTTATTGACACATCAATCAACTCACTACAGTTTTCCAAGTCACTACAGTAATCACTGTAGTGAGTTGCCGTTTTACGAAAAATGGGTAGTTCTCGATTATTTATGCCCAAAAAATCGAGAAAAAAAGTTGGTGTCATTTGACGGTTTACACCCGTATTTTCACACACCGACTAATGATCAAAAAATGGCCCTTACACACTTTACTCGGTTTTGATTCTAGCGCATGCGCAATGCAGACTAATACTATGGCCGACTTCCGGTATGTAATGATCTCGATTTTTCTACAAAGCAACAAATGATCTCATCAGGTAAGTTAATTTTCTGTTGATTTTACCGTGAATTAAAGCGTTAATTACAAAACATCACATCGTTTCCATATACAAAGATATTAATCAATCACTCGATAAACATAGAGTATTTAGATTTCGTTGTTTATATGCCCTTGAAAAATTTATGTTCAAATCCCTTAGTTATAATCCACAAAATAAAACTTTAAGGTTAAAGAATTATTTAAATATATTTCCATATAACTTTAAATCCACTACATGGCCCAATCCATTTGTTAAGCATAATTTGCAGTCGTCATCGAGTCTAAGTTCGAATTTTCTCGAATTATTCATAATGTTGACATGTTTCTATTTCATGCACTCGTATCAATTAATTATGTTCAACTTATATAAAAAATTATACTTCATGTAATATATCAAACGTATCTGGTTCTTTGTTCTAGTTATGAACTGAACTGGAATTATCTCTATCCTTTATAGTCACACATATTGCCATCAACACATCTTCAGTTCAGAAGTTAAATAAATTATTTTATGAAGTTAGAAATTATTTATCTTATTTATCTTTGTCCAAGACATGCACTTCATTTGTAATTTATTCTTTATTTAAAAAAAAAAAAACTGCTTCAAATATGTATGATTACAAAAGTATTTAACAGTACGTTCTCACTATATAAGAATCACACTTTT